CTTTTACCTGTTTTTGACCAAGACGTGGACTCATGTGGAATAGCACACTAGCGTTTACAAACAATTTACCAGGTTCAGCAATGTGGATGTTAAAATAACTAGGTTGTGCTAAAGGTGTTCCACGAATTATAATGCGCTTTGGTGGTGCAAAGCCTGTTACAAACTTCAAAAAGTCGATTGTTGCCGGTATTTTCTGAAGTTTTATAAAGTTGTCTAGTTCAAACACTTATAAAAATACTCCAACCGGATTATTTACGACAATTTGCCCTGCACAGTATGGAGGAGGTTTTGTTGTGGTGGTCGGTCCTTCTGTTGTTGTAGTTGTTGGTTTCACTGTCGTGGTAGTAGGTTCCTCCGTCGTAGTTGTTGGTTCCTTGGTTGTGGTGGTCGGTTCTTCTGTTATTGTTGTTGGTTCTTCGGTCGTTGTTGTTGATTCTTCAGTTGTCGTTGTTGGCTCCTCCGTTGTAGTAGTTGTTGATTGCTTTGTCGTAGGGGTGGGTTCAATTGTAGTGGTTATCGCTTTATCATGACATAAAACCACAGAGCTAAGCTCAACTGCCAGCTTAACCTCCAATAAGCTCAATTTACTCAAATCATCCCGTGAAAATGTTACAAATGGTTTGTAATCAACATGAACCTAAAAAATAATATAACGAGCAACATCACTTTAGTAATTACAATTATTGTGTTTTTTTCTGCCGCAATAAATTCCAAAACGAACGGTTCTCCAATTCTGAAAGGAAATCCTCCATAACGTTCTTCTTTTCCCCATCCTGTGATTGGTGACCATGTATTTCTTACAACCTTGTATAAATATTTATCTTAAATTCCCTCGAGGTGTTCTATATTCACCTGCTTTTCTTTAAATCTCGGATTGAAGTGGAACACTGTTGTAGCAGTAAAATCTGGCACCCCATCACTATACAAATTAATCATAAATTTGTCAGTTGTATTAGTAGGAGAACCAACAAAAATAATACGCTTAGGTGGAGCAAAACCGCCTTCAAATCCTTGCTTCAAAAGATCGATTGTTGCTGGTACTTCCTTAAAGTATAAAAGAGGGTACAGCACAAGTAGGCGCGCGACCAGGTAGTCGGGATCGGGATACCCGAAAATCACTACTGAAAACCTTTTCACTGCTAGAGGAGAGAAATAGCTATAGCTCAGCTGCTTTAACTAAATAATTGCTTTACCGGATACGCTATAACGATAGGATAGGGACAGGTTGGAAGAGGGGTTGTAGTTGGTTCCTCTGTTGTAGTGGTCGGCTCTTCTGTTGTCGTAGTCGGTTCCTCCGTTGTAGTGGTCGGCTCTTCTGTGGTTGTTGTAGGTTTCTCCGTTGTAGTCGTTAAAATTTGATCGGGGCACAAAATCAAAGAGTCAACTCGAATTGTGATTACCCCACTAATATATAATTGACTGATTTTACTCAAATCTCCGCGAGAGAAAGCTGCAAAAGGTTTATTATTGACATTGATCTACAAAAAGATTAACAAATTGAGGTAAAAGTTGAATAAATAATTACAATTATTGTATTGTTTGGCGCTGCAACAAATTCCAAAGTGAATGGTTGGCCAGTTTTAAAAGGAAAACCGCCAGATTTTTCCGAAGTTCCCGGTCCTTTGTCTTTTGACCAATTGTTACGAAAAACCTAAAATAAATGTGGATATAAAAACAATTTTAATCATTAAATTACTGCAGGTGGGTTGAGTAGGCCGCCGACGTGGAAGGAATTCAAAATAAATGGAACGTCCGCAGTTGAGAACTGCTCGCCATCCTCAAACAGAGTAACCGTAAAATCGCTTGGCTTTTCAAGAACCACACCACTGATTTCAATATACTTGTTTGGTAAAAATCCTTTTCCAAATCCTATCTTTACAAGATCAAGTGTTGTTGGTAGCTTCTTAAAAATTTAAAAAAATTAGTTAAGCGGATATAAGTCAAGTAAGGGAGAAATAAATTTAATTATTTCTATGTAGAAGGCAGTAGTGTTTCACCTGAGCTGATATTTTGACCGGGACCGGAACCGGATCCAATTTGAGTTCTGGTTCCCGGAACCGGAACCAAGTAATGGTCGGAGCTTTCCGGAACAGGAACCAGAACTTCCAGTGAAGCTCCAGAAGGCAGGCATCATATCACAAAAACTTCCGCCCATCAGAGCCTCTAGCACTATTTGAGGTATTCGAGTCGTTCTTATCTCTTAATCTCTTTTAAATCCTACATAGCTTAAGCATTCCTTTCCTTATCTTACCAAATTTTTATAAATGATTGCACTGTTGCAGGTTGCCGCCTCTATAATAGTTACCATAAAGCTCACACATATTATTAACAACAAAAGTGTTATCAACTTCATTGTTGAAGTTAATTATTTAAATTTTAAAATATTGTAATATTTGCGTGAATCCATCATCATTTATATGCTGGATTTTAGCAATAAAGTTGTTTACATGTCTAGTTATCATTCATTTCCTTAATCAAACTTAATCAAACCTTTCGAACAGTTAACAACGTTTTGTAATCTTTTCGTGGCCATCACGATTCATAAATAAATATTAACACTCGAAACCTTTTTATTATGCTATTTAATTGTTAGATGTATGTATAACGAGAAAAATTTTGTTTAGTTTAAATGGAACAGATATTTTATGTATTTCCCATATTTCTTCCTATTTTTTATCATAAATATCAATGAGGAAGCAGACTATTTATTTACTACATATATTTTATATACACCTATTTATTTCCTTATTATTTGCAGGGAAATAATTTTATTATTTTTTAAATCAGTGTTTATAAACTTCCTTGTTAATATTTGTAAATATTTGGTTTAGAGTAGAATGTGTACGAACGAGATGAAGTAGATCGGCTGATCCATTTATCTTTAACGCTAAAGAATTCTTTATTTTAGATCGGTTAATATTTAAGTTCAATTTTTCATACTCAATATTTTCGCATTATTAACAAAAGAGGTGTTCCAAATTTCAATATTTTTATTATTTATTATATTATAATTCAATATTTTCGCATGCAGCGCTAAAACGGTGGGGTATGATTCCGTGCACACGTTTCCGTGTCCGTTATAAAAAACACGTTTCCGTGCCCAATTTCTTTTTAATATAATAAACCATAAGAAAAGGTTTTGAGGGGTACAGTGAATATCAAGGGACTTGTGCATGACATCGAGACATCAACAAGGGGATATTGGTGGATTTGGAGGAAAAAATCTCAAAAAAATTTTTTTTTATTTTAAAAAAATTAGAAGAACCCTGCTTCTAACCTATGACCAACAGAATCTTCGCTGGAAAAAAAGTTTTTGTGCTGCTACGGAGGGTAGGCCGGGCATGGTCTTCGCTACACGATGGCCGTGCTTCGCTGCGGTCGTGCTCGCTTTGCTCGCGGCGACCGTAGCGAAGCGGCGGCCGTCGTTCCGCTCGACATGCCCGGCTTCCTCCGCAGCGGCAAAAACTTTTTTCCGCGTAAATTTTTTGAATTGAAAAGAAAAATACTGAAGCAAAGTTGATAAGTTGATTACAAGGGGGATTAAAATACTTAAAAAATATTTAAAATTTTATAAAAATTTAAAAAAATAAAAATATTTAAATAATTGGGCACGGAAACGTGTTTTTTATAACGGACACGGAAACGTGTGCACGGAATCGTGCCCGCACGGAAACGTGCCTGCACGGAATCGTGCGCACGGAATCGTGTCTAACCGGCGCTAAAAAGGTGAATTCTGGTTTCTTAGCCTTCTGAAAATCCAACAAAAATTAATTTATGGTAATTTATGTGCCTTAGAATGTTGGAAATGAAAGTCGCCTATCGCCCTAAAAATCAGAATTTTGTTGGCGGCATTAGAAAACAACAATTGTAGAATTTTGTTTTTTTTCTGAAGTAATGCTACAGAGTAATAGACTAAAAATAGGGGTAGTACGGGGTACGAATAAAAAAATTAGAGTATGCTAAGTACGAGTATGAGTTCAAAATTATGGGTGGTAAATCCTAAATCTGGTTTTTCTTTTTAAGTAACTAATAAGAAAAATGTGTTCTGAATGAATAAAAAGATTTAAAAAACAAAGTCTATAAATTTTTAACAAGTTTTACTGGCCAATTCAAAAATGAATTTAAAAAAAATAAACGCAATTTTGCTTAATATGCATTAAATTAAATAAATTTATTCATCAATTCTTTTAATTTCAACATCATTAATTAGCTGTTGGCGAGTAATTTGGCCCTCTTTGCTATAAACAGAAAACTTCATTTCGGGAATGTATTTATTTGAAATTTGATATTTTGTTGATTTCAAATTTTTTTCAACCTTCTTTTCAACATTTTCTGCACTTTCGATTATTTTAAGAGTATCACGAATATCCCCAAATTTAATTTCCTTCACCATTTTCGAAACTTCTTCTGATGTTTCAATATGCTAAAATAAATATAAATTAGTTTTTTAATAAAGAAATAAGAGACCGGATTGAGATGAGATCTAGAACAAAAGTCTCGATTATCGAGATACGATAAGAAAAATACGTATCGTACGAATTTTTCTTGATTTCATTCGAGATTTTTCTAGTAATCTCGATTATTGAGATTTGGTACCTTTGCGTTATCTCCCCCCACTTTCTTTTCACCCTACCTCTATTCTCCTTTCCTTCTCCTTTCAAAATGGTCAAAAGCAAATAATGGCCAGATAAAAGGAACAAAAGTGAATAAATTTTAGTAAAATAAAAAAGTTAGCTATTTTAAATAATTTAATCCTATTTGTCTGTGACCATTTTTAAAGAAAGAAGGCAAGAAAACTGGGGGGAGATAATCGAAAAGTACCCAAGATTTTTTTGAGATATCTCGTACGCCTCTCATACGACACTCTCAGTCCAGTCTCAAACTGAAATTATTTCAAAAACCATATTCCGCAAATGTTCTAATAGAAGCCCATGCCCCATTAGAAGCCCACCCAATGGGACCCATCATTGAAAAATTGCTTCTATTGGAACATTACGGTTTTACAAATACTCATTAACCCCCACCTTCATAATTTTATTATAAAATTCTGGTTCAACATGTCGACAAGAAATTACACCAAATTTATCTTCTCCTTTAGTCAAAATTTCAAATAAAATATTTATATTTTGCATTCTTCTGTTGAACTTCCAAAAATCCACAGTAAATTCTTTGGAAAACAGATGATTTAAAATAAATTCCAATAAACAATTATCAGATTTAGTCAAAATAAATAGATGGGCACTTTGAGAATGAATTTGTAGAGGCATATTTGTTTTGTTTTCATCAAACAATAATTTAATCATTTGAGGATTAAATATAACTTTATCCAACTGAACAAATTCAAAGCAACATTTGAAAAGTTGTTGCAGTATATAACGAGCAATTTTCATATCTTCGATATTATTGGGCAAATTTGGTAATTGAGAATAATAGGATTCTAAATAAAATGTATTCTATATATAAAATGGTATATTAAGTAGTTTTCCGGAAAATGTGAAAATGTCCGCCAAAATTTTCCCGTAACGCGTCAAACGCCGATTTTTCAAATTTTTAAAATACGCCAAACGCCGCAGGCGAAAATATTTTAGCGATGTAAAAAAATGTTTTAGCGGTGTGTCCCTGGTGGAAAACTTCCCGCTCCCGTAATCCAATCTTGTATAATAGTTTGGAAGTCGCCCCGATCTTCATTTCTATTTTTCCTATTTTTTCTCACTTTAGGGCAAAATATACATATATCATTCGAAAGAGCCTTCCAAGCGGAGTCGGATGACATTAAAATCAACAAAATCTGAGACAAAGGTGTAACTATGTTCTTCCCTCAAAAAGTCTCCCAGCGAGGATTTAGCTTATTAATTTTGGTAAGAATCAGAGATCTGCCGACAAAAAACCAGAATTCGCGGTTTCGGGAATCGGGAATTCCCAAATTTTTCTCAATTCCCGATTCCGGGAAATATGTAGGTATCCAAGCCAAAGAAAAACGTCTGAAATTCTCGATTTTCGGGAATCGGGGACCAAACTTGAAGAACTCTTTCGAAAGAACTCTATCAAACAGAAAAATCTCAAATGATCAAACAGGAAAATAGGGAGGGCGACTTCCAAACTGTTACACAATTTTGTGGGATTGTACCTCTACAACTGGAGAGGTACAGGTTCTAAGCAGGGCTGCACGCAATTGAAAAAGATTCCGCAACTCTCAATTTCTTTTTAAAAATCCGCAAACGCAATTCGAAACTACAAAAACCCCGGAACGCAATCCGCAAATGCGTGCAGCCCTGGTCAAATAATTATAAAACTACCTTCGTGATAACTATCCTGTCCCAATTCGCAAACAGCAATATTCATGTCTGTATCGAAATCACTTAAAAACATCGGAATTGAGTTCTCTATTGCACATTTCCACTAAAATTTGTTTATTTTAAAATACTTAATATTAATTTTCACCTTTTTCTCGAGTTGTTCACTCAATTGAAATTCATAAAGTGTGGGGTCCGGTTCGAAAAATTCATAATAACTTGAACTCCCATCGTTGCCATAAAGCTAAATGAATAAAAAATTTTCGAAAATACTCATAGAAATATTACAATTTCGAGTTTATCAAATTTTTTCCGTGCCAATTTGTCCTCGTATTTATTCAGAAAAATTTTATAGAAACTATTTGTCTGTTGAATGGATATTAATTGCTTGAAAGTTAACCATTTAAATATATCTAGTTGAACTTCAGGCGAAAGAAAATGCATTTTTAATAAATAAAATAATTTTCTGAAAATAAAAATATGAAATTTGACGATATCCATTATTATTAGGGTTGGCAGCCAGGGCTGTCCGTAATTGAAAAAAATTTTCCGCAGCCCCAATCCGCAGTTGCGGACAGCCCTGTTAGAAACTCGTTCAACTCGAGCTTTGAAAAATCGAGCGAGCAAAGTCTGTTTAACACGAAAAAGACACGTATGGCTCGACTCGAAAGCCACAAACTCGAAACTAGAAAACGACACGCTCGAAAAATCTAAGCGCAAAAAATTCACCAAACGTCCTATTTAAAAGTATCGGGAGGTTGTATTTTAGATTCTTGCCTGTGACTTAAAGGAGGGATTTAAACCTTGGATGCCTTTTTTTGGTTAAGCCTTATGAGGGTACTCCCGATAATTCCTAATACCCGAGAATTCTTTATTTCCTGGCAATAATTTGCAGTAATTATTTTATTCCTGCGACGCAACCCCTTTTTCCTTATTAAATTTAGGTAAAAAATATTGGAATGGAAATACATACATATGTAAATGAAAAAATTTTTGCACTAAAATATTTTCTTCTCTTGCGCTCAAAAAATGAAGCCAAGCTATTTACACCCAGGATAAACAAACTTAAATGCCCTCCACTAAAATTAAAAAAAACTCCACTAATTCGATAAAGGAAAAAAATTTGGTCGATGCTCAGTAAAATAAAATAAAAAAAGTAAAATAAAACAATGTTCTTTGACTTTTATTTTTTATTTTTCTCTAATGTAAAAGCTTTCCTTTTCCCCCATTTCCCCCATTTTTATTACAAAATATCAAAAATATCACAATATCGCAAATAGTAGAGAATCTAGGAAGAGAGGGTGAAAAGTCAAAATAGTGAAAATCCTTAAGGTAGAATGGCCGTTAATTAAGAATCTCGGTAATAGGAGGGGATGATTTAAAAAGGGAAAATAAATGTGTTAAAAAATATAAAATTTAATTAAATTATTAAGAAAATATTAAAATAAAAACCAAAAATAAAAATTTGCATAATTCTTATTTTTATAAATAAATCTTCTAAATAATAAATAGGGAAGAATGTGGGAGGAAAATCCTTTGAAGGGTATCGGCAGGAAAAATTCGAAAAACAAAGGGATAAATCATTGCGCAGTGAATTCGGCAAGGAAAAAGGAAAAAGGAATTTGAAAAGAAAATAATGGAAAAATTTACATATTAGGAAAAGCCTCAAAAGGATTTGGGTTGGCAATAGAAAAGGCTTCAAAAGGTTTAGGATAATTGAGAGGTCGGTGGGAAGGAAAAGCATCAAAATCTTTTGTTGGAGAGGGTAAGAGTGAAAATAAAATCAGATAATCACTCAAAGTTAATTTTTGCTTACTATTTGAGGAGATTACCTTCACTTTTATTAATAAACATTTTGAACTTTAAATTTCAAGCTTTACAGCATTTAAAATTACAATTTAAAAATATATTTTATATATCACATTCATCATTCAATAATGACTTTTCGTTGAAAATCAGAAATCTCTCATTAATTGCACATGATAAGATATTGTACTTTGATTGCCCCTTTAATCTCCAATTGACTTACTCCACGCAAGTCGTATCGTCCAAAATTTACAAAATGCTTTTCGTTGACAAATACCTGAAATTTGTAAACCTTTAGTGCCCCAACTGAGATGGATTCATTCTTCTCATACCTACATAGGATAGTCCAGGAAACCAGAGGTGGGTCGGACATTCCGAGGTGTTGGAAATCGGAAGAACCGGAAATCGGAACTGGCTCAAAAGTCGGAAATCGGAAATCAAAATTTTTTTCGGAAATTGGAAGGAAAAAAACGTCGGAAATCGGAATTCCGACTCACCTCTTTAGGAAAAAATTAGGAAAATATTTAATTATGAAATAATTACAGCTATTTGATTTCCCCATGCAGCTTGAAAATCCAATACGAATGGTTGTCCAAGTGTGAATGGGAAACCTCCTACAGTCTCTTGTTTTATCCATCCTTTGCCTTTTATCCAAGTGTCGCGAACAACCTTAAAAATTTAAAAATAATTCAGGCAACTTTAGTTATTTCTTATGCTTGTCTTAATTGAAAATGTGAATTAAGAAAAAAAGCACTTGATTCAATTACACTTTGCAGAATGGGAATACCCTCACCTACAGTAGCAAAAACAGTTTTTAAGGCGAAGATTCAATTGATCGTAAATTTTTCAAGATCAACTGGTTAACCTCATTTTGTTGTCATTCTACGCAGCTCCCCAAGATCTTTCGAATGAGCTATCTTTTGTATAATTGAATTTGTGACCCCAAAATCAGCTTCGTCCCCTTTTTCAATTTTCTGGGTCTTATATCTCGGTGTGAGTGGTATCGACAACTCAACTCGGTGAGATTACTCGAAGGATTTATGAATCGAAGGGGTTTTGATATTCACTTACTCGATTTTCATAAAAGCGTGGATTGAAGTGTAATAGAGTGTTAGCAGTATCATATATTTTACCATCATCAGCAAAGTTAAATTCAAAGCGTAATGGTTCAGGTATCCATATGGGTGTCCCATAAATTATAATACGCTGAGGTGGTGCAAAGCCTCTATCCAATCCTTGAGCTATAAGGTTGATTACTGATGGAATTTTCTTAATATCCAGATTTAATTCTCATTTGATAAGACAATAAAAATTTTAACTACCAAGTCTCTAATAACAGGTTGTTTATGACAATATTGAAAAAGCGTTGTGGGAGCTATGGTAGTTATTGGCTTTGTGGGAGTTGTTGGCTGTACAGTCGTTACAGCTTGATTGGGACACAAAGTCAAAGTGTGGAGTTTAATTGTGTTTATCCCAGCAATATATAATTGACTAATTTTACTCAAATCAACACGTGCAAAAGTATAAAAGCGTATATTATTGACTTTAATCTACAAAAATTAACACAATGAGGTAGTAATTGAGTGTTTACGATTATTGTATTGTAAGGCGCCGCAACAAATTCCACAATGTATGGTTTATTCCTTGTAAAAGGAAAACCAGGAGAAGTTTCCTTAGTTCCCCATCCTTTGTCTTTTGACCAATTGTTACGGACAACCTGAAAGTATAATTTAGGCGGGTTCGCTACGTTGCGCGGATTGAAATGGAATGGAATGTCAGCAGTTTTCTCCATAACACCATCTTCGAACAAATTAACCACAAAATCGTTTTCCCATTTAATAAATGTAACATTAATTAAAATACTCTTGTCTGGCAAAAATCCTTTTCCGAATTTTGTTTTTGTAAGATCAATTGTTAATGGCAACTTCTTTAAAATTTAAAAAATATTATTATTATTTATAATACTTTTTTTTGATTTGAGCTCTATTAAAAAGTAATAGCAGCCAGCTAATACGATAAGCTTAAAAAAATCAAGAGAGAAGGCAGACTTTTTACGGAGCTACCAAGGGATTAAGCTACCTACCTTTCTACATATTGAATATGTAGATCTCAACCCATGTCCTATCTTAAATGCTAAACCAAAACTGGATCCCCTTTTCATTATCTTACCGGATTATTATAAATAATCGGATCTTTGCATATTGCCGTTTCGATATGCTTTGTGGTAGTTGTTGGCTGTACAGTCGTTACAACTTGATTGGGGCACAAAGTTAAAGTGTTGAGTTGAATTGTGTTTATCCCAGAAATATATAATTGACTAATTTTACTCAAATCAACACGAGAGAAATTTGCAAAATGTTTATTATTGACATTGATCTACGAAAAATTAACAAATTGAGGTAGAATTGAGGGCTCTACTTCAGTTTATGAGTCCAATAAAACTATGAGTCCAATCAAAAAATAATTGGTTTTTCCTTGGTGTTGCCAGGTTGGGGAATATATCCAAAACATTTCTTCATGTTTGAGACCTACGTCCAGTGGGTCTGGGACTATTCCTTACCCTACCTCTCGAAATTTCTGAGAGTTAGAATCGTTCTCCTGAAATTTAACTTTCCGAAATTTCGAGGGATAGGAAAGGAACAGTCCCAGACCCAGTGGGCGTAGGTCCTGAACATGAAGAAATGTTTTGGACCCATACCCCAAGCTGGCAACACCAAGAAATACCCCATAAAGTTTGATTGGACTCATAAACTGAAGTAGAACCGAATTGAGTGTTACGATTATTGTGTTGTTTGGCGCTGCAACAAATTCCAAAGTAAATTTATCTCCACCTTCAAAAGGAATACCACCAGAAGTTTCCTTAGTTCCCCATCCTTTGTCTTTTGACCAATTGTTGCGGACAACCTCATATCTTATAAGACGCCCCAACACTGTGTTGCGCGGATTGAATTGGAATGGAATGTCAGCAGTTTTCTCCATCACACCATCTTCGACCAAATTAACCACAAAATCGTCTGCCCATGTAATAAATATCGCATTAATTACAATACTCTTTGTCGGATAAAATCCTTTTCCAAATTTTATTCTTGAAAGATCAATTGTTAATGGCAACTTCTTTAAAATTAAAAAATTATTATTTAATCCGATAGGCCTTGAAATTAAGAGTGAAGTGTGAAAGTATCCTTCGACTTATTAGAATTTAATGCTAAGCAAGAGCTCTTCCGTCCGACTGTGCTGGTAGGGCCATCACTAGTGCTTCGCCCATCAAGGGCTTTACAATATTAAATCTCTGAGTCCCCTTTCTCTGGGTCCCCGACAATCTCTGGGTCCCCGTTTCCTTATCTCACCGGATTATCATAAATAATCGCATCTTTGCATATTGCCGTCTCGATCATAGTTATCATAAAGCTCGCACATATTATTAACAAAAGAAGTGTTACCAACTAAAATTTGAATATTTTTCTTGATTAAAATAAAATTTTTGTTAGCTATTTACCTTCATTATTGAAGTTAAGATAATATTTAAATTTTATTATATTTTAATGATTGTTTGAATTTATCAACATTCCTATAATGTTGGATTTTATAAGCAAAGTTGTTTACATGTCTAGTATTTAATCAGTGTTAAACAAAATTATTCGAATGTTAATAGCGCTTGTATTTTTTAATTTTTATTGTTAGTTGTATAGTGAGAAAAATTTTCATTTGGTTTAGATGGGACACATGTTTTTTGTATTTTCAGTTTACAATGTTTGTTCATCTAGTATGAGGAAGTTATTTTTAATTTATTTGCAAGGAAACATTTATTTTAATTTTCAATGTTTAATTACATCAGGGTTCTGATTCGTACTTTTTTAAAAGCAGACTAGGACATGGATATGGATACGGATACAGATATTATAAAAATGCCTGCGGATATCCGTCTGTATCCGCCGTAAATATCCGGATACGGATACCAAAATCAGTATCTGTGTTCTAGTCTGTTTAAAACGTGTCTGGTGATTTGGGCAGTGGTGAATTGGGCAGTGAGTTAAATGGGCAGTGAGTGATTTGGGCAGTAAACGTTTTTTAAAAAATAATTTTACACGCAAAAACATTTTGAGTAACATTATAAAAATAATTTTGAGTGATTTGGGCAGTAACTTAAATTTTTTAAAATTGATAAGAAAAATTAAAAAATTTTATTTTAACTTAAAGTAAATCCATCATTTTTTCAAAAGAAACATGTTTTGCCTTTTTCAGATTTTTTGACCCTATCTTAAGACGTAAGAAACCTAAAGTAGGGACTATATTATTGATATTTTTAAATATACTTATTTGGATTAGATAAGACAAATTGCCATCATTAATTTTTATTGATAAACAATGTGAATTCGACATTCCTTTATTTTATATCATTAAACGTACAAATTATAAATATTATTTTTAAAATCACAAATATTAAATATTTAATCACAATTCTTTATTTTCACAAGATACCAAAGTAACATTAATAACATCAATTGCCCCTTTAATCTCCAATTGAGTTACTTTACTCATATCGTATCGGGTAAAAATTATAAATGATTTTTTGTCGACTAATACCTGAAATAAAAATTGTATCATTAAAAACTTCAAAGTAAGGTATAATTTCGGAATCCTAAATAAACTTCGATTGGGACAAATTATATGTCAATCGAAAGGGCTAGTCGAGCTGAGTCGAATGACCTCAAAATTTCGATTGGGACTCGAACTGGTCAAAAACAGGGCTCGAAATGGTCAAAAACCTTGGAGGGAGGAAGCTCATTTTGGGGGTAAAAATTCGAATATGAAGCTTGAAAGTGCTTCGAAAGAGCTTTTCGAAAGAGCTCGTCGAGCTGAGTCGACTACTTTAATTTAATTAGTACTTCTATCCCATTTCTCGGTGCTATTCTAAATTCCAATTTGAATGATTGGCCAACTGTGAATGGAAGGCCTTGTGCCCGCTGGTTTCTTATCCATCCTTTGCCTTTTATCCAAGCGTCGCGAATAACCTTAAATATATAATGAATTTAGGCAAACAAAAATTGCGTTAACTAATACGCCCTGGGATTATGTTATTATTTAAAAGTAAATAGATAGATACAGATAATCTGATTGTAGGGTATTGTGACTTATAGTGGGTTTTTTGTTTGTGGACCGATTTCGACAAATGAGGTGTCATTCGAAAGAGCTTCGAAAACTGAGTCGAACTAGATATGGGGGAAGTCGGTCAGACAATCAGGGACCGAGTTACAGACCCCTGAAGTTTGAAAAAGAGAAGGGGGGAGTAAGCTCATTTTGAGGTGAAAAATTCAAAAATGCAAATAAGAGCTCATTCGACTCAGCTCGTCGAGCTGAGTCGAATGACACCAAAATCAACGAAATCTGACTTGATTTGACAAAGTTATGATCGATTCTTTTAGCTCCTTACCTATGGCGCCCGTGGAGTTTTTGCTGCTGCGGAGGAAGCCAAGTATGCCCAACTCATCGATGATAGGAATAGGATTATGTTACTGACCCAGACCCAGCGACCGTTGACTCCCCGCGAGGCGCGTGCCGCAAAACCCCGCGCGAAGCGCGGGGTTTTGCACAAGCGCCTCGCCTACGCCCCATAGGTTTACGTTGACCATTTTGAACCACTTTATCTTGGCTCAGAATCAAGATATCGATCTGATTTTGGTGTCATTC